TCCTGATCGGGCGCTAACTGCTCTGAACGTTAGCACCCATGTGTGAACGCCCGATCGGTAACTAGCGCTAACCGTCACTGGGTCCGGATATGCTAATGGTTAAAGAGCACTATCGGTTAGCAAGTTGAGCGCGTTTCTATCATCAACCAATCACACATACGCGTTTCCGATTTCCAGTTTCCTAGTGGCTGATTCGATCATCTCTTGGTACCTGGACAGGGGATAGATAGGTCTAGTAGTCTCGTATGGATGCACTTCAGCTAACTGTTAGCTGCCGTGTGTGAATATAGCCTCTGATGTCCCGAGTGCGTCCTTTTGTTGAATTGCCTTGGTTGAATTTACTCAGGCTAGGGTACTACTAGCTAGCAGTACCGGCGACATGCCTATACTAGGCTAATAATAGGCCTAGGCCTAGACTAACTAGGCTAGCTAGGTTAGGTATACTGCTAGGCTAGGTAGGAGGCATAGTAGCATGGTAATATACGTGCATATCTTTCATGTTAAATTAAAATTACTCACAAAGACTATCAGGGTTTACCGGAAATACAAATACAGCAAAAGCTACCTCTAGGCTAGCCTTGCTAATTTCTTATCCTCGGCCTGTTGAGTCCTGATAATGTTGTTTACATTTTGTCAAATGGACCACACACAAACAGCGTGACCACTCTCACAATATTTGATATAGGCCTAGTATATACCCAATGACTGGGTCGAAATTACCCAAGATTCAGCAAAAATTGCCCAAAATTACCCAAGCTTGATGAAAATGCATTAAAATTTTTAAAATACGTGTTTTTCGCAAGTATAGTTTCCCTTTTAGTTCAATTTATAAACCACTTTTTATTGTAATTGTTTGTGTTAATTATTAAAATTAATATTCATGAGGTATTAATACGGATCAAAGATCTTATAAACACAAGATAGCGTTCTCCGCGATTTACGCGTAACAAATAGAAGCGTCGGTCAAGGTTCAAAAGTTTCCAATTTAGCAAGAGGGCGTCATTCATGCGCTATTATACCAAAGAGAAAAAGCATAGAGATATAATAAGAATACTAGAGCGTTAACCGCAATGTATTCGATGTTCGAAATACGCAAAACTGTGTGTGTGTACCATCCAAGATGGCTGCCATGGATTTATCCAATCAAATTTCGCTAAGCACCATCGTTTGCAATTTCGCCCTCAATTTACCCAGAAAGTTCAGTACAGCTAGTTACCAGTATGTTTGAAACTCGAGCGTTGCGGTGTTTGAATGTATTGTGCACGATTTTAATTTTCATCCCTTGGTACTTTATTTTTGAATAAGATGCTCCTCTTGGCCTAGTTTTGGCTACAATATTTTAATAATTTGTTATTACCATTGCTCATTATCATTAATGAAATAATAGTCAGTCAGAGGGCATATTAATATGTAATAATATGAATACTAAGCCTGAAGGTGGCGCTTTACTACGACAGCCATCTTGGATGGTACACATACATAACTCTGCATTGCTGCGCCATCTTGTCAGCACTCTAATTGTTTAATAGCTCTATGGAAAAATCCCAGAAAAAGTATACTATGGAACACCATGCAAATAAGCAATATGGAACGCCAATGGTGCCAAAATCGATTTATTTTAAAGCATTTTCACTGATTAAGACAACGTTTAGGGACACTGGAACCCAGTCTAGGATTTCCTTTTTTTACACAATGGTCCTGGATTCAACAGTCTAAAATATGAATATGGAGACAGTAGCGGGTCCAGGAATTTGAAATTATATGGGGCCCAGGTAGGGATTTCAGGCCCGGTAGCGTGACTTAATTTTTGGGAGGTTTGTTTTAGTGGAAAGTGGACCCTTGTATGATCTCCGATACTCTGGAAAACATTGCAAAAATATCTACGAATATCAATTTTTCGTTTTTAAATGCCGGAAATGGCACTCTCAGATTTAAAATTTTGAAAATAATACGCCATGATGAGGTCGTCAAACCTCATGGATTATACGCTATTAAGCAATTCTATTTATTTTGAAATCTTGAATTCGTTTCAGGGCTTGTGGAGCGCTTGAAAAATGGCGAACAAATAATAGTCGCAGAGGGTTACTTGTTTGCCTTTCAACGTCGTTGTTATCTGAAGGCTGGATCATTTGTCCCTGAAGTAGTTCTGGAACACCCTGATCTAGTTAAGCAACAGTACAGAGAGTTCATCCGCGCCGGTAGTGATGTCGTGCTAGCATTTACGG